TGTGTGTGTGTGTGTGTGTGTGTGTGTGTGTGTGTTACATGGTGGACGAGGCCAGGTTGGTGTCTTCATGTTTGAGTTTTCCGTCCAGAGCGAGTCCTCTCTTCTCTCTGTTCTTGTCGAGCGTCGGAGTCAGAGTGTAAACTTTACAGAAGGTGGAGCTGGATGACACCTGGTCACTATGGAGACCACACACTGCTGTCAATCAAAGTGTAAACCCCACCCACTGACTTCAAACCAACTTTGTAAAACTGAACAAACAGTTGAAACCAGTTCTACTCTTGTTTATTCAGCTAAAACCGAATCCAGTGAATCCAACTGATGACATCTTATTAAACCAAGATCAAATATTCAGATGTTTCAACTTGAAATGTTTTCAGATATAAATGATTCAATTTAAATTTGAATGTAAAAATCAGCTGTTTTAACTGAAAATGAATCTACTGATTTTACACAGTAATCTCTTCTGCTGAGTAACTGTAACTTACTCTGCCTCCAGCTGAGCCACAGGACATTTGTACTGAGCCGTACTGAACAGACAGATATCTGCATACTGACGCACTGCAGAGAGAGAGAGAGACACACAGAGCATGTTACACGGGCTGCTAAGGTGTAGATCGGGCACCGTCCAGTAAGAGGGTCGGCGGTTTGATCCCAGTCTTCCCCATCTGCATGCTGAAGTGTCTTTGGGCGAAATGCCAAACCCAGAATGGCCCCTTATAGAGAAAGTGCTGCCTGTATGAACTGTATGAATGTGTGTGAATGGATCTTTGTAAATACACAACATTTATTATTTATACATTTGGAGACACACGTAAAAAAAGTAAATGTTGGTTTGCTGAAGAAAATGAATCCCTCTGCAAACTGCAGCTTGGTTGTTAACGACACATTTAGTTTCACTGTTTAAACACAGAAAGTCGATGATGAAATAGAAACAGGAAGAAAGAGAAAGAAAAAGACAACACACTCGAACCTGAAATCTTGACTCTCTTGACGGTCTTGGTGGAGTTGTTGGTGACGTGAACGTTGACACTGATGGGTTCTCCGTGGTAATACAACTACACACACACACAGTAGATCCTTACATCAACACATTAACTCACCAGGTTCCTCATTTATGTGTGTGAGTGGTTAGCTGTGTGAGCGTGTGGTTAACTGTGTGTGTACCTCCTTGTCCAGAGAGGCCTCCAGGTGCAGGGATCTGTCCGACATCAGGAAGCTGCGAGTCGTCTCCACCATCGGCTGAGGACCTGGTTTCTCTGGAGCATATTGAACCTTCCTGATGACCAGACGCACTGAGTTCCTACACACACACACACACACACACACACACAGACACACACAGACACACACACACAATGTTTTTTGTCAGTGAAGCAGAAAAACTAATTTTAACAGTTTGATGAAACTCAAGATGAATGATCTTCTTTTTAACTGAATGTGATTTGAAAAGAAACAGTGACACCAACAGAGACGACAGTGAAACTGCAGCTACATCATTATATATATATGAGACAGATTGTGATTTGTGAATATGGGCTATACAAATGAAATTTGATTGATAGTAATCATGGCTAAATGACAGATTTGTTTGCAGTGTCACCTGAGGATAAACCCTCTGTATCTTCCTGACAACACCATGATGTTGGAACACTGAAGCTGTCGGCCATGTTTGTTTACCACACGTTTACTCAAGTCTCTGGTTTCCTCCTCAGAGAAAAGATCAGTTGATGCCAGGTTTTTTCTCATTTTTGTTAAAAAAATGCAACAAACTCAAATAAAGTCTGATCCAGAGTCAGCTGAGCTCCTGATGAATATTAAACCTTCGTACATTCCGGTCTGTTCCTGTTGACGGGCGTGAGAAACTAAAGCTCATTTCTCCAGCTCTCTGAATCCTCACAAACCTTCTCACCTCTTGTGAATCTTCTCTTCTATCGACTTGGCACAGAAAGCTCTGATCTCAAAGTCGACGCCACAGGCCTGAGGACACAGACGAGAAAACCCAGTTCAGCTGCTGATGTTAAACTGATCCATTATTCTGAATTCTTCTCTGCTGATGTTCAGGACAAGCAACGAGTCCTTATTCATGTTCTCACAGTAAATAAATTAAAAATAAGTAAATGTAACCGAGCTTTGATTTTACTGTTTAACCATAAACATCATTATAAACAAAGAGAAAATGAAGAAGGCAAGATTATTAAATGTTAAATTATGTTAAAAAAATAAAATCTTTTCTGCTTTGTTTTTTATAAAAAATAAAAAGGTTAGGTGTGTGTGTGTCTGTGAATGTGCGTCTCTCTCTCTCTCTCTCTGTGTGTGTGTGTGTGTCTGTGTGTGTGTTACCTTCCCAGTGTCCTCTGGGCCGGGCTGTAAAGTGACAGAACACGGGAGGTTCTGAGGAATCTGAATCAACAGACATAAAAAAATTCAGTTTCTGAATTAAAGTCATAAAATAAAAACATATGAATCAGTTAAAAATATAATCACACAAATAAACATGTGAACAAGTTCTGTGAGCTCTGATCCTGACGACTCATGTTCAGTTGTTAATAAAGTTTTTAAACCAGCGCAGACTGACTCGTAGAAAAGAGCTGCAGGCGACGGGAGGATCCGTTGCTAGCATGGTTGTCACAATAAGACATTTTGGTGCCACGATTATTGTCAGAGGAAATATCACGGTTTCATGAATATATACACTATAGAAGGAAAAAGATACAACAAACAATGTATAGTGAATATATAGCAAATAATATAAGTAATGAACATAACATAATTATTATTATCATCAACGATATCCAGTTAGTTTATATAGTTTAACGTTTGGCTGTTTAAAAGTAATTTATGAAAGATATTTTATTTAGTTGCCTTATTGTGGAGAGAGAGGGAGAGAGAGAGAGGGAGAGAGAGAGAGAGGGAGAGAGAGGGAGAGAGAGCGCCAGGACTCCATAGTTAGACATCGTAGCTTGAAATCGTGACGTTATCAAACGTAAAATCGGTTAAATGCGACGTCCCTAGTTGCTAATGGAGAACGTCAGAGACGCGGTCATGTGACTCACAGTGAAGTAGAAGGGATGTGCATGTTGACCAAGTTTCTTCAGCAGCCGCTCCTGAAGACGACTGTTTGGTTTCCGCTCCTCAGGCACCGGAGGAAACGCCTGTCAGACATAGAGCAGGGTTTAACAAGAAGATAAGTGAAACCACAGGAAGGTCATATGTTCATCGGTTAAATACACAGTAAAAGTACTTAGGTACTCTGACCTGGAAGGTGGAGATGTAGAGATCCTTCCTGAACGACAGACCCAGCACATCCAGGTCCTCACGTCCGTAACGAAACGCACACGTCAGCGTGACGAAGACTGTGGCGAGGAAGAGAAGTGTTTGTTTGTCACATGACTCATCACCTGAGCATTTCCTCATTAAAATGTCTAAAACCATCGAACCTACATTATATATATGTTTACGTACATTATACACAATGTTGTATTCAAGCTAACACAACTTTTATTTCTGTTCACACAAGCTTTTGTCCAAACTATGCATGATGAAGGAAAAACACACAGCTAGCTCGTTAGCCTTTTAGCCTGATGATCACTGAAGCTCCTCCCACTAAAGTGCAAACACACAGAGGAACCAAGTGACCTAAGATGATCATGTGACAAGAAACTGTGGGGAAGACAAGAGTCCCATAATCCTCTGCTGCTTCACAACATCAAACTACTGTAAGTTTTGGATTTTGAGACACATATAAACCGAAATGATACATTTTAGGTTTTAAATCGTAGAATAAAGTGATTATGATGGAAAGTCACATTTTTAATCTTTAATACATTTTTCCTGACGACCATGAAGGTCACACATGAAGCTGTTATCAGATGTGAGCTCCAGGTAGAATCCAGAGACTCATCTCCAGAGACGCTCGTCTCCAGAGG